GCAGCAGCATATCTGAACGCGTGGGGGGCCCCTAAAAAACCTTCCATGTACATTACTAAACTGAGGAATCAGAGCAAGCTTTGTGGTAATCAAAGGCGCACACAAGCACATGCAAACACACACCTGTAGACAAAATGTAGTGGGTCAGTATATCTCCCACATCTCCCTCTCCCCCTCGCTATCTCCCCAGCTTGACAAATGCTCTTTTGAAAGTACAGAGGTGGCAAAATTCCTTTGTTGGCTTCAACAATACAAGCAGGCACTTCAAAAGGGGGTAAGGCTGCTTTACAGGTGTCACATCTCTTCTGATGATGGCTGTCCTCTTTAGAAATCTTGCAGATAACCCAATATCCTCATTCAAGGCAGGTGACATACTTCACACATTCCCCTTCTTGACTGTAAAAGGGAAAACATACCAACATGATTGCTACAGATGTTAAGATGTTTCACCACAGCTATTAATGTAAGGAAAGAAAAGTAGATTTTTGATGAGTACATACAGTAAACTATAGAAGACTGATTATTTTGCCTCTGTTTATTCAAAAGTTGCTAAAAGTGATTAGCATTGTGTGATAAACAACACAATGGCGAATCTTAAGTTGGAATTTAGTGGCTGAAGTGTTGGATAAAGGTGTGAGTGCTGTCAGGATTTATTTATTTAGAAAATAGAAGTGAGAAACATTATCACTTGCAGACAATAAAAATACAAACCTAACAAGGCAAAAATGATGTAATTCTAACATTCTTCAATGGCATTAGTTTGTAATATTTTCATCTGGGTGTCACATGGAAAAGTTACATGTGTCAGTTTTTCAAATTAAGATGTGCCAGTTCCAGTGTTTTTCATGCAACAAAAATAATATTACTTTTAATAATCTTCCCATTTATGTGTGTTATATGTGTTAAAGACATGTACTGAATCTAAGGGAGTGATCTAATTTCAGACAGAAGGACACACAGACATCAAAAGACTGGCTTCAAAGTCAGTTACATAATGAAATGCCCACACACTGGGTTCAGTTCTGGCCCATCACCTTTGGTGTGTATGACCTATAAACAAGAAAAGCTTTGAGAATCACATTCTTAAAAGCTACAGCCTCTGCTTAAACTTGTTTCATACAGGCGTGTTGAGCATCAGTCAAGCCAAATTTCTCCGATATGTCATCTATCAACTTTTTAACCCTGCTCTTCAACATTTTGCACCCACATTAAACATCAGATGGTTCATCTTAGATATTAATATTAAGCTTGCTTCTTTGTTATTAGTGGTTTTTGTGTTCAACTGAACATCAGAAGGCTATAGGAAGAGTGAAACAGAAGCTGGCTGTAACCAAAGTGTGACTTCAGTAGGAGTATTTACATCGTGTCATTTCAGTGTGGGCCTTTGCACCATTCTACTGTATATATGTCGCTCCAGTCTGTCCCGCAACATCATGGCATTACCGAAATGCATGCAGTTCTCTTGTGAAAGTCAGGGTGAAACTCAGGACACAAAATAGAAAAGGACACTGATTGCAATTAGGCCTATTGTCTCCCATTTATATGGTTATTGGGTTGCAGTCTGGTTGTGTCAAATTTCTCACAGTCACGATGCTATCTCTCTGACTGGGGCTGTCATAGCCTCTTCTGGCAACTATCTGCTAACAAGGTACATCTCACTTGGGTGACAATGCTGCTATGTGGGTCTGGCTGAAAGGAAGGGCCCATTTCCTTCAGCCACAAGGCAGTGTTGCTGCAGGGCTGGACTTTCTGTCCATCCTGTGATCTGTTTCATGTTTTGTACTTGTTTTTTTTCTTTCTGATGGCTTGAAAAGTGTCAAAAGTTGAGGTGTGGAATGAGCTGCTGACAGCTACCCAGTCACTAAGCCAAACCTGAGCCTGGCTGGCTCCGAGGAGTTCATATACAGCACAGTCTGCAATAAGTCTTTATTCATTTCCTATCATGAGACGGGGTTTAAAGGCCATGGCATTTTTTATGAACGTCTGGGAAAATAAGTACACCGAAGTAATGAGCTTTAATCACAGGACAACTTATGAAAGATGGGTTAAAATATGTTTGATGTGGGGGTGGGCAGTCTAATGAATCCACATGAATGAGGATGGAAGGATATCACTTTTTGTGAGGATTTCACTTCAGAGGGGGTGTGTATCAATCTTTCTGTGTGATAATGGGCTAAGATAGCAGCGAGACCTGGCCTCTGGTGGTGACATTGTTGTAGGGCTCAAAGACTATCAGGGGTCCAGCGACTGAGCCGGAGCACTGGTGGGCTCTATTCACATCTAAACCTTAATCTATCTTGTGATCAGGTCTTTTTTGTCACTAAAGCCTATCTATTTCCAGCTTTCATTAATGAGATTTTTTTCTTTTATTATTGTTTCTCCAAAAAGCACAGCTGGCTTCTGTAGTCTCTGAAAAGAATCAAATATTTAGTCCAACCTTACTTTTTTTTTTATCTTTCTTCCTATGACAAATCCAAAGCCAGTGTTTAGGCGTTATGACCTGAATCTGCTGGGTCCATGACTGACAGCTTATCCATATTCAGAGTATGTGAGTGTGATTGCACACTTTGTGTTTAAGAAATCAATGTAATACATCAGTATTATCTGTGGTAGGTTGCAACAGTGTCTTTATGACGAGGACCAATCTGCAGACAGACAGTCTTACGGCTAATTCAGTGACCCTTACCAGTTTCACCAGTACTTTGGTACTTCTGTATCAAATATAAGCTTACCTGCATCATTACCCCTGGAAAGGATTCAGAGTTAGTAGTAGAGAAGTGTTAAAGCTTTTCTTTACAAACAATGTCCCTTTAAACTTTGCCTGATTCAGGAGAAGGCCCCAGTGCTGTAGAAGACATCCTGCTCTGGATCCAAAAAAGTCATCTCCATCTGCCCTCAGTGACTGCAGACCAGGACCTGGACTGACTGGTGATGGCCCCTCTCAGACCTCAGGAGAGCACTTCCCTAGAACCTGTGCAGTTTGACTATCACCCTCAAGTTGACAGTGACATCACCTAGCTTCTTCAGTGAACCCTTTCTCACCTGGACAGAACAGGCAGCACTGTGTGAACCATGTTCTTTGATTTCTCCAGTGTCTTCAGCCTGTCCTGGTGAAAGAGAGTCCCCAGAAGATGCAGGTAGACACCTCCACACCCTCCTGGATTACAGACTATCTGATATACAGACCATAGTTTTTGTGCCTGGGGGAATGTCTGTTTGGACGGGCGGTCAGCAGCACGGGAGCGCCACAGGGGACTGTCCCCTCACCTTTCCTCTTCTCTCTCAATACCTACAACTTCCAGTACAACTCAGAGTCCTGTCATTTGTAGAGAATTTCACAAGAATCAGCAGTTGTGGGGTGTGTCAGTGGACAGGAGATGAGAGGCCTGGTGAACCACTTTATGACAGGAACAACCACCTGCTCTTAAATGTGGCCAAGACAAAGTCATGGACCTCAGGAGGACCAGGACTAAGTCAAACACCATCTCTGTTCATGGTGAGGAGGTGAAGGTGATGGAGAGCTACAGATGCCTGGGAGTCCACCTCAACAACAAACTGGACTGTAAATGCACCACAAAGACTGTCTACAGGAAGGGAAGAAGCAGATTCTACTACCGGTCTATTCTTTTCTCCTCAGCTATGAGCTGGGGCAGCAGCATCAGAGCCTGTGACACCAGCAGCCTAACAAACTGATCAGGCAGGCTGGCCTTGTGCTGGGAACTTATCTTGAACCTCTGGAGTTGGTTGTGGAGAGAAGGATGCTTCACAAACTGTTAAACATCACAGAGAACACCTTACTGTATATCCAGCTGAAGAAGACTCTTACTGAAAGCTCCACTGTGACAAAGAAGGCTACAGAAAGTCTTTCCTGACAAGTGCCATAACACCGTATAATGACTCTCCTCTGTGTCAAGAGAAGGATATGTCAGGCTGTCATTTGCAATTCAATTCAAACATAATTCACTGAGCATAAAATAGCAAACAATGTACCATTGCACATATATGTTTCCTCTATAGGCCACTTCCTAAATCAACAAAATAATTTATTACTTGTGAAATTCAGTCATAAATAACAGAATACCAGTTTGGTTGTTTATGTTGTTTTATTTTGGTGTTAAAGAGTTAACTTTAGAAATCTACCACAGGTAGTAGAACAAACACTACCTGTGCAGTCAGTGAAAAAACAGAGCTGAGGTAAAGAGGCTACAGTGTTACAAGTCACACAACACTGTTTTAAAAAATGTATTTCTGCAAATATATATTTTTACTTACTAATATGTACACAGCATGAAATAAATAATTATAAAAACAACATTTGAGAAATTCATAAAAAATTCAAAAAGTCATTTGTACAAAACTTTGGATTTAAAGACAACAAAAAATTTGAACAAACTGTCCACATAAGACATCAGTCACATATGAAGTGTACAGCAATATTATAGAGCTTGTACTGAAAATGGCTGCTGTGTAGTTTATTCAAAATGACCTAAATGTGAAACTTGTTATGGCTGCTTATTAATATTTTCAGTCACGTTGTAGTGTAATCAAGGGTTAACAATTTTGAGAAAAATCTATACATGCCTGAGATATAGCATCGCATTGGCTGTAAACAATAATTCATCAGCGATGTTACTTGTTGCGGCCTCTTAACAGCTGAGGGGAAATGAGATACTTTTTCAAAAACAGTATGCTACGTTATATGAATTTTTGACTGCACTTTCCAAAAAAAAACAACAAAAAAAACTGTGTCATATATCTTCTAAGATTATGGGAGAGCAACATGACTCATTGTTGCCTTGATGTTTAGCATGACTACAAAGTCCACAAACAACTAAAACAACATAAACTTTATTTTGGTCTATTTGGTTAAATGGGAATTATTTTATGTAAGAATTAGTCAAAACTTCACATTTTTTTCCAAACTACATATATTTCTTTCACAGAAAGAATCAATACATGCAAGAATATACATATAACATGGATCGACAAGCACCCACACACCACATTATCTTTATTTAGCAGCGTTAAAATAAGGAAAGTACTGATACTGTCGTTTCAGTGATTCTGCTTGTTGTTTAGTTTGGAACAATAAGCCACAACTGAGAATCATCACGTGAACAGATTTGGTCATCTTTTTTTTTTCTACAACTGCAAATTTTACTGTATTATACAGAGCTTATATGATACAGCTTAGTTTGCAGTTTATCTGCCATTTGTGTCTTTTCTCATGGAGCACAGAATTTACTTCTCTCTGATCAAATATCAAAATAAAGAATATTATATTTGTATAAATGAAAGAAAATGTGGACATATCCACATATAAATAAGAATTTTCCCCCACACCCAGTCACATGTGACATTGCTAATACTGATAAAAAAAAAACCAAGGAGAAGATGCTTCATATTTCTCAACAGGACAAGTGCTGACCATTCAGATTCATTACAGTTGACTACCTCAGAATAACAGGGGGTTTTCTTTTCTTATCTTTGGTCATAACTCACTATGTTGTTCCAAGCACTGTTACTCTTAAAGGATAAAGCTGCTCATTTTCTCTATTGGTACTGTTTTCAGAAATCTCCATACACAGACTAAAACCAACAATAAATTGCCTCTCCTCATGTTTAATGTTTGTCAGCCTGTCAGTCCTTGATTAGCATGTTTTGCTGTGTGATAGAGCTCCGTTGTTGTCCAAAAACAATTAAAAACACATCAGAGAAACAAACTGCTGAGACTGGGTGACACGTTGTTAGATTACTAAACCCCAGCCCAGCACTCAGTTTTGTTTACATTCTACTAGCTCCTTACACTCAGGTCTGGGTTTTACTAATGAAGAAATATGTCACCCAGTGCAGCGGTGTGTTTCACATTATTCATGGGTAGAGGCAATTCATTGCAAGTTTTAGTCTCTGTATGGGGAGTGCTGAAATACTGTTAATATAGAAAACTGCCTTATCATTTAAGAAAAAGCTTCCTGTGTTTTCACGTGTGTCAGGAAATGTGCAGACTGTGTATTGTCTTAATTGGTCGATGTTCAGTGGATGTGGCTCACATATACTCTTAAATAAAATGAGTAATTTAAAGCAGATATTAATATGTTAGCTTGAGAATTTGTGAATATGTAAACACATTACAGCATAATAACTACATTCACTCAGGTGCAAGTGCATTCTTACCCAAACATCAGAAACATATTAACACTATACAAAATACTCATTCACGCAACAATAATATTAGTTTTCATATATACACACACATACTAATAATGCTGAGGAAGAGAATGCATGCTGTTGAGTGTCTGATCATGTAAATAGCAAATCTTATGTTCACCTTTCTTGTGGCAAAAACAAGTGATGATTACACATTGAAGAAAATGTGACTTTTTCATTGTTTGTCCTATTCACTTGAAAGCATTGGCAGTGCTGTACTAGTCTCAACAAAGTAACTACTTGGAACAGAGAAAAAAAATCACCAATATGGTGTTTGTCAATTAGCCGACAGTCCTCCTTCTCTACGTCAGTACATGAAAACTCTTTTGTTATCTCTGTAGATAACATTGTTGTTCTTCTCGTCAACACTATTGCAGTTCATGCAGGTAATGCTTTGTGATGTTGACATCTACTCAGTTGCTCCTGTTGATTATGGCTCTTCTTAGTATCACAGCATGTTGCCATCGGAGTCCTCGGACAAGTCAGACGAGTTTACAGTCTCTCATGTTTTGCAGAAAAGTTCCTGTATTTGTTCTGCTGCCTACTGAAGTCTTTACATTTTGGTTATATAAGCTGAGAACCAGACATCCCTATTTGCAGGTGTGCACGTCATAGACTCTCACACACTCCTGACAACTGACGTAGCAGCACCAGTGGAAAATACAGTGGCACTTCTCCTTTCGCTTCTCAATCCGGGTATTGTGACCTCTTCCGCAGCACAGGAGGTCACATCCATCTATGCCATGTGACGTTAGGTTGCAGATGCGATCACGAGTGCCAAAGGAACCAGTCTCAGGATTAGGATCACAGAAATTAGGTGAGTTTTCATAATAAACCAGGTCACGCTCTGTGGGGGGTTTGAAGTAGTTGTATTTGGGTCTCAGGGTCTCCACCCACCCACGGGACTCCTTATGTTTCTCCACAACCATCTCAGATGCGCTGTCATACTTATCCTTCATGTAGTCACCAATAACTCGGAAGTCAGGCTGAGACCACCAGCACGTCTTGACCTCACAGCTCCCCGAAAGACCATGGCACTTGCACTTCAGAAACATGTTGTCGCTGAGGGACTAAGGATACAAAAACAATGTGTTAATCAAACATCTGGAAGTAAAAAAATGGCTACAAGACACACACACAGACAAAGCTTTTGGAAAACTGACCATTCTTCCTGCTTCATTGTTATGGCGGTTCATGGCTGAGCGTGCATCAGGGCGATTCTCCCTGGCATCAGCGAACTCCCGGGACACCATGCTCCCAAACTCCACATCCTCGCTGCAGCCACCCCACTTCCATCCCTCACCAGGGGGGCCCTTGCGACGTGTGTCACATCCACAGATAGTGGCTGAACCCTCAGCACAGGCACGGGTCACTGCAAATGCCACTCCCGCTGAGGCAATAGCATGCACAAATGCTGACTCTCGAGTGGCTGGAAAGGGAATTACACATATCTGTAAGATATACAGTATATCATTTGACAAATTCAAAACTGCCACATTCCACAGAAACACCTCTGCAGAAGTAAGTAATCATTGATTGTCATGGGAGTAATGACTTTCTTGGTGCTAATGGTTACTAGAGATGTTCACTTGCTAGAGAATAATCACTGGAGAATGTAGGTCACCACCTGTTTATATGGATATCTGCTTGTGTTTGCTTGGGTTCCCGACCTATACTATCCTATAGAGTTCATTACTCTTGATGGCTACATGTATTTAGGTCATATCAAGGAGTACCAATGTGTGGATTCACTCAGCCCAGATATCAATCATCCTGTCTCTGAATAAGACCAGAAAGGCCCCTGTGTCTGTCTGACATAGCTAACTGATGACTCAGAGGGATCAGGATCTTCCAGAGAGATGAGGGGAAGAAACAGGCCTGACAGGCCTATAATTAACCCTATAAAACCATTTGTATCATATTTAATACATGAGGTTTCTGAGCAAAAAAAATTGCCAAAAATGCTCCATGTATCAAATGTGATACAAAAGAAATATAAATAATCTAAATAATATGGCACCTCTATTCCTATATGCCTGGACTGTCAGTCTAGGCATATATGGCAAATAAAAATCATAAATCTTGAATTTTGAATCATAAATTATATTTTGGATTTTGTTAAAAGGTTTAATAAACATCTCAGTTCCGAAAAATTAGAATGTTCTGGCTATTTTTTGATGTGTCAGGCTTTACAGGGTTAAGAGACTCAATTAAGCTTTTGAAAGGTTAGAAAATGGCCTCACACTGAAGGGACAAACCATAGACACAACGCAGAGATGAGACTGTAGTGTCCAGATACAAAATCCCGATGCTTCACTGTTACACAAAAACATGCTTCAGCATTTCCTGCTTTAACAGGACTCATTATGGGAATAAGGTTGGCTTGAATATATGTACTTGTGTGGTCTTGCACAATCATAAGAAAAAAGACAGAGAGCACAAGATCAACAAAGTGGAAACACCAGGGGTAAACATGAACCAGACAATGTGAAAGAAAGCTAAGAGATAAACAAAGAGATCAATAGTTTGGGATGTACGTGGATGTGTGTGAGACAGAAAAGAAGGCAGTGCATGTGCATGTTTCTCTCCATTAAGGGAATGAAAGAAAAGAAAGAAGTGAAGAGTATAAAGCTAAAGGAATAGGCGCTCCTCCCTTACAGCAGGTTCCAACCAGTTTGAGGACTAAAGGGCATTAGAAACAATGATGCAAGAGAAAAGGTCTAACTACCTCCTCCACCGCCCACGACCTATTACTACTACACAGGTTACTAATGTTCATTCTAATATTATCTGCCAAACCTCTGCTCTCCTTTCTCGATGCTTACTGCACACACCACAGATCATTTCACTTGGATATTGAGTAATTTTCTTTGTAATTATAATCATCATCAATAAAGATGTAATCACAACATATAGAAGTTGTCACCATGCATTATTTAAGAAGATATCTAAGGTTATGGACTTCTTGTGACTGGCCCACACTCTTAAAAAGTGGGCCAAACATTTGTGAGAGTATAAACTGTCCCTACTGCAAAGTAATTCAACAAATTAAACTAATATTTGCAGCATATAAAGAGTTTTGATGTATACACAACAGCTCAACTGCAAGCCAAGTACTGTCAAGTACTGATACTACTTAAAGTGCTCAAACTCTTACTGACAGTACATTAATTTTCACCATGAAGCTGCAAGCTTTTAGTTGAAATAAAATGGTTTTTACACACTTGCTAAAAACAACAGTGCAGAACAGTGATGGGTTATGTGGAAGGTGCAAGTCTCTATATTCACGTCAGTATCACATTGTAACAAGCCACATTTTTTAACCTGGTGTGTGGCTGAGTAATTTTATACTGATGCCACATATTATGCTTGGTATTTCATATACCATTTAAATGCTATTACAGTCACATACACCTGCAATTGCACTTAAATTACCTGGAAACACCAGCTCTACTTGGTTAAGCTGTTTTTCGTAGTTTTATGGCCATTTGATGGTATTTCATGACACTCTGCCTTAAACAATACTCCTCCACCAAACTTTGCCAGACCCTGGCAAGCCAAGTGGTCCGTACAACCTGCTGGGGGGTTGAATTCCCTATTGTGGTGCCACTGTCATGCTGTGTTAGTTCCACAATGGCCCCAGATATTTTATATGAAATTTGTCCTGGCCAGTGATTAGTGGGTCCAAGTTAAGTCATAGCAACAGAGAACTATGCATTGGCTGGACCCTGGTTGTCGGCAGACGGGGAAATCCCTATTCAAATGGTTTAATAAAACAATCTAAAGGGCGTGTGAATGGGGAAAAGCACTTTTTCCTCCTGCTTAATCTCATGGTTGCAAAGATATTGTGCTCTGAGCAGTGCCCAGCAGGGAGTGGGGCTAAGGTCCCCCGATCAACTCCATTTACCACACCCCTTCTTTCTTTCTTGCCCAGAGTTAATGATATACTGATGCACTAGCTTTCCTCCCCCAGCATGGAGAGACATACATGCATCTCATAAAAAGCGACCTCTTAGCTCATCCTAAATAGTTACATTTTCTCATCCTCAGGTCATAGGTCATAACCAACATCCCCTGACCTTTTCACAGTTAGTTTAGATGGGAGTCAGTGATTTAGGCTAATTTATTAGGTGGATTTCCTGGTACAGAGCATTTAGGCAGGGCAAAAAATACTTAAACAGAATGAAGGTTAGATAAGACAGAGCTACCACAGTATGGAACTTTTTAAGTCCCTCCTCATGTTTTACATATTATGTAATAGGAGTTTCAGTTTTCTTTGACCCTTTTAATGTAAGAGTTTGTTTAATAGTAGTGACGGTGCATGTCTATACCGACGTGGGTGGCAATACTTGTGAAGCTGTGACTGTCCACTTCTTATAGCAACGTTGCTCTTCATAATTCTATCACATGACTCATGTAGCCTGATCATACCCATATAATGTGTAAATACCAAGAATGCCATAACACTTCTGGGATTGGTTCTGAACACCTGTAGAGCTTTCTGTTACCTTTCATCACAGGCAGATTCCATCGGTGCATGTTTTGACACTTTAGTTGATGTAAATTAATGAACGCTGAAGTAGACATAGCTTAGAGGCAGGGCTTGTGATGTTGGGTGTGGAGTGAGAGGGAAACAGAGAGAGAGGGAGAAAGAGAGAGAGAGACTCAGACCACGAGGAAGGAAGAGTTGAACATGCGCATGAGAAAGAATATGTCTAATTTTAAAGGCTGGGGTCATTTTACTTATAAGGTTCAGTATAAGTATCACAGTGTGCATTTAGATAGATGAATCTTTAAAGTGTGTGGGCATGCCAGTGTATGATAACATTTGTCAAGAGCAATTTTCATGTACAAATGAATAAATCATTCCCACAAGCAGAAATTGTAAAATATTTTTCATTTAGTCTTCTGTTATGTTAGCTATAACTTCAACTCATTTCACAAAATTACTTTCTCTTGTTTAAGATCCATGTTTTTCATTCTTCTAGGACTTAATTCACCTCTGTAAACCAAACTAATGTTGTTATTGAAGGTGAGGAGAGCAGCAATGGGCTAAATGATAAGAACTAAAGCCTGCTGAAGCCAATCAAGTCTTTCTTTCAGCTTCGCCCCTAAAAAGGCAGGAGGAAACCGACATACAACAGTCTGAACTGCAGGCAAATAGACACCAGTGAGAACAATGGTTCTGTTGCAGAGACAAACACCAGCATCAATCAAATCCTGTGAAATGGAAGCCCCATCCTACTTAGCCCTATCAAAGGCCTATGAGCCCCTGAGTCACTCTCCTTGGCCTCTGACAAAGGCACTTAATCCAGCCACTTTGACCTCTCACATTATTAAGGGCCTCAGTGACCTTAATCCAATCAAAATGATTTACTAAAGCCCAGTAGCTGCCTCCTCTTACTACTCAGTACCTCTGCAATTTAGGCCTGGGAGGGAGGCAATGAGAGGGATGTGGTGGCATTTTGCACCACAAAAGGGCCCGGACTGAAAACCCCTATCGTTAGCCACCTACTTGAGCTCAAGCCTCTTCTATCAACTGGCTCAGGAGTTTATTAAAAGCAATTGCCCTAACTAACTGCCACCCCCTGTGTTTGCATCAGTCTTCTGTAAACTAGGTGACAGGATTAGATCCTGACCCCCAAACCCTTATGTTCTGCACTCATTGTCAGTTTTTTTTTAACTCAGTTTGAACATCAGCAAGAAGGAACCAAGCTAGCAACCTAGAAAACTCACAAAAAGCTAATCATCAATATAAATAAATACTAGAATGTTGGGAAATATGCTTATTTGCTTTCTTGCCTGGAGTTGAATGAAAACATTAATACCGCTGTCATGTCAGTCTGTTAAATATGAAGCTATAGCCAACAGTCAGTTAGCTTAACTTAAAATCTAGTCTAAGGTACTTCAGAAGAAACAGAACAGCAGAACAATCGCAGGGGATTCCCTTGGGGGGAAAAAGAAAAAAAAAGCTCTAACAAGACACAACTCACTTGTCTTAACTCTGTTCATTATTCTGTGCATACAGGCTGCAGAGAGCCTGTTCAATCCAAAGTCTATTTAAACAAGGATTTGAATGGGCATAATGAATGATACACATAGGGAGTGCAGAATTCCCAAAGCAAATATAAGACACAGATAGTATGGCAGAAGATATAATCAGTACAGAGATATAATAAGTCAGTCAGATTTTTTGCAGGTAGCTTCAAGTACTCCGGAGAGGGTATGACATCCAGAAACATAGTCTGGGGCACAGGGGTCAGACAACATCACAAAAGCTATTCCTATACCATGTAATGTTATAAACGGTCAATAAATGCATCAGATCATCCCCTTAAAAATAAATGTAAGGAGAATTATTACAAATGAAAGCCACCTAGGTAGGCCATAGTGTCAGTTTTAGTGATGACAAATTAAAAAAAAAATAAAATTTTGGATGCTTGAAACAATAGGGATAGGGGCCTGACACACACTGAAACTATATTAGAAAAATAATAAGACAAAGTTCTCAGTGAGGGTTGTCAGTCAGAATTCACATGAGTAACATTACCTTTATCTAACACTGGTCCAAAAATAGCCAGATTGTCATTGACTGTGGTGCAGTTCCAGCGTCGGCCTCTGAACTGGTGCTGACACTCTTGGATGCCAATCTTCACCCCTTCAGCGACGCTAGGCATGATTTCCACGTAGTTCCGGCAGAAACGCAGCTGTTTGGGGATCAGGCCTGGGATGCTGCCACATAGAATAGGTTGATTACCCAGTGAGGAATACTGGTGGCCCACTGCTAGTGACCTACAAGGTAAGGAGACGTCATGTTAGTGCTTATCTTACTGTCTGCCTTTATCTTGATTTACTACCACTAAAATTAAAGACCCCCTCGAGGTACAGTGTAATTTTATGTCTGCCTATGTTTGATTGTGTGCATTTATTTGCTGTATCAGATGCTACCATTAGGCATCCATCCTTTATCCTTTCAACTACCCTTTCTGCAGACACCTGGCCTTTGTGTGTATTGAAATTGCAGCCCTGCTGCCACAGATGCAATCAATGTTTCTGTCTAAGATGAAAGTCCACAGTGCACCTAGAGGTCTCAGAGACCTTAAGCTGACAACTTGGAAAACTACACCTTGTTATTAAGTGTCCACACACTTAACAGGCCTTCAGCTTAGGGTAATAAGAGTGCAATCCCTACAATGAAACTTCAGAGAGTGTATTAAGAGTAACACTGAACCCCCCTCCCTTTGAGGACTACAACAAGTGCAAACTTGGTTCACTGTTTACATCTCTCTGTCTCACTGTCTTTATTGCTTTCTCTTTGACTGTCTTTTTTCTGTTCTCTCAATCTCAATTAGCACTTTTAGCATCTAGTAATCACAGAAATTGCATATCCATCTATCATCCAATATGTAACCAGGCCAAATTTAAGGAAAGCTTTGCTGTACTGTGCTTGTACATGATTATTTATCAGTCTATCTGCTGGTATTTTCACATGACAGAAAGCCTTACTGGCCTGTTATCCTACAATACTATTATATAATATATACTATTTTTATTATTCTATTACTATTATATATCCAAAATCAATATTTTGACTACTTGATCATTTAACAATAGAGTTCCTATTGTCTTTGGCAAATGCCTTGCCAAGTTGTTCCAGCATATTAGCTTGTTGGCAAGTTCTCATTTATGAATTCTATTATTTCACAGACACTGGCAGCAGAAATCTGATGATCCTTCCAATAATATAGTTGGTAAGAGTTTCTTTTTTGCACAAAGGACGAGCAGGAGTACAGGCTTTTGCTGCTCAGGTAGCTCACTATCTGTTGACTTGTTCACTGTTCAAGGACAAATCGCTGATCACAACAAGATTACCAAAATTCTGACACTGGCCTTAGGCTGCCTTTTTAAAATCCCACAGTCCAAGAAAAGATCTCAACAGTCAAATGACCCCTGGCTGACAGCTGCTGGTGGCTGATTTCTCTTCATTTTTAAGCTCACATTTATGTTAACAGGATTCAAGGTGTGTGTGAGCATCAGCTGACCCGGTAAGCAAACTATGCTTTTATATCCCCAAGCAAATGTCAGAGTTATGTGTCATGATGGTTTAAATGGAAACTCTCGCCTCATTTCTGCAGACTAGACCGCTCTAGTTAATCATAAACAAGACATCCAGTAAGCGAGCAATGCCAAGTTGAAAATGACTCCAGAGGAAATTTGTCTGCCGTTCGTCTACAACATACTGCTGGTAGTAAACAAGGGCACTCCTATTACAAATCGACCTCTCTTTGGCCCTTGTCAGTCCATATACCCTGAAGCACATCATTCCCAACAGAAACCTGACTCCACATCCTAAACTAGTGAAGAGTTTTTGATTTGCTTCAAATACACACAATAAACATAGCAGAAATGCTAAGTAATTGTGAGATGTGTCCTGGGAATGAAGAGGGGTGAAAACCAGTGTCATAGGCTTGCTTTTTAAATTAGTAGTCCCTTGTTAGTCTAGATTGATCCTCCTTTTTCCTTTACAGAGAATAAATGTGACATCTCTGAATCATCTCTATTTGTGGAAAAAGATTTTGCATTGCAACAACATATAATTCTACAGCAGAAAAACAATGCTGAAGGTAATATAAAAAAGTAATATCAGTTCTTATCAATCCAGAAATACAATTTGAAAAAAAAACAAAAAACGGATGTGTCAACACTGGTACTCATTAGGACGACACCTGTGAGGGTCTTTTGCACATCATTTTTGCCAGGTCATCTTCCTGAACCGTGTCATGCAAAACCATCATGAATAAATGTGCTTAGGTTGCTCCACTCATGCGTGGCTCTGTGTCTGTCCCAGAGGCATTGCAGGGAAACTCTTCCTGTGTTAGGAAATGGGCTAAGAGCAGAGGCAGGGCATGTTCCACAAGGATGATTTAAGGAGCTATTGCCTAAAAGGCAGTGTTGTTAGATACCATCTCCAACAAATATTCAAATATAATTGCTGGTATTTTATGTGTTGTCTGGATTTTAGGTATCTACTAAGCGCTTGTGCCTTCAGCCTCTCTAAGTTCTTCTCAAAAACCTGTTTATTTTCTTAGAACAGCTGCCCTCCAACAAAACAGTTGTTCAGTGTAATTCGTAAAGAAACTAAAACTTTAACCACTTCACAGTTTATGTTGTCAGATAAACACTTGTCTGGTGAAAACTACTACAAATAAATACTTAAACAAAACATATCACATTCAGTTTTTGTCTCAGTGCAGACCTTCTCCCTCTCATCTAAGTGTATCTAGTGCAGGTTTAATGCATATTTCAGCAAGCCCAAGCAGGGTACCTTAGAATTATCACTTTAGCCGTGGGCCCTGGGGCCTTGGAGCTGACTTTGACATCAAGAGAGTATGTTTGAGAAAAGGAATGTGCGGCAAGCTTTCACCTCCAGGTATTTATCTTCTAAGGTGGGGTGGACTAAAGAAGGTGGTGGTGGGGTGGCGGGTGCAGCCAGGCTATGTCATGGCAGGTCGAGAAGAGACAGACATGAATCTGTCTTAGTGCAAACTGTATCCCACCAGACTAATGCTGCAGAGAGGTTGAGTGGGATGCAGATCCACTGGCTCGCTGATGCCAAATTCAAGAGGTTTTCTCAGCAAAACATACCGGGTTGCTTTTCACAGAAACGAAAGCTCTTAGACAACTGACATGGTGTTTGTAAATGAAGAGACAATGCAGGGATATTGAGAGCAATCCAAAAGGAACCAGATTGTTTGACTTGGGATAAGTTGCCATGAAACAAAAAAATACATCACTCCTGCAAGAAGAAGAAGAAAAAAAACATCAGTATTACGTCAAGACCTCCGAACTTAAAGGTGACTTAATGTTCTGCAGTCAAAGATTGTTTGTATTGGTAGGAGTGATACAGCAAACTTGACTTATGTTTACGCTTTTGTCCTTAGTCAGTGACTTGACCCAACCTCCAAAATTGAACCATCAACACAGAGGTTAATTCTTGACTTGCTGCAGGATTTCTGTTGTGACCAAATGGAAACCTGCCTTCCATTGTATCATTTGTAACTGGCTCCACAAAAAAGAAGTGGGAAAACAGCTCTTACAGAGATTGAAATCCAAGATCTTTCCTTACTGGTTTTTGCCAGTGTGCAAGAGAAAAACACAAAAATGACTTGTACTAAGATCCAACAAAAACATGCTCACATGAGATGATAAAACACATGCCATTCATAAATATACTGGTCATCAATAGGTCGGAAAGGAATTAACAGTGACTGCGTGCACTAACTTTTAGAACCACGACTGGACTTATGTGTGCCAATCTCAGGTCAGAGGGCCCGCCATTACATCAGGATTCCCTTCCAGCTGGGCATGTAATTAGTTTTTCATCAGTATTACTACCAGGGGACCCATTAAGGGAAGCAAATTAGAGTACATCCACATCCACTGTCTAAATGACCCCAAATATCTGATGATTAATTAAAAAAAAGACATCATTTGATAATTTAGTTCTCAAAAGAAATTTCTGATTGATTTGTGCAGCTAATGGATCAAGTGTGAAAACTGTGAGGATGTGACAAAAGACAAAGAAAAAGAAAATGGACTCATGTACAGTATCCATTAGATATTCATATAAATTATTTACATGACAGCAAATGCTAGTGTCATACCATGTGTGGTTATTAATCCTTCAGTTATATTTGTTTAAAAGTGAGAAAAAGAGTCCATAAGTAAATGTAATGCTATTTCAAATGTTGCATTAACATGTTAACATTTCCATAAATAATATAACTTACATTAAGAAAAGGCTGTGCATATACAGCCATTCAAATTGCACACATGGGCAAAATAGCTCATACACACGCACGCACGCGCTTCCAAACTTTGCACCTGCTGCACCCTGATAATGATTTTGAATTGGATCTTGTCATTCATGCTGCAAAAGCCGAAATCCTTAACATTTTTTACAAATAGTAGTTTTTGCTCTCTACAGGTTTGTTCTCTGCTACAGGTTTAAAATCCCTCTTCCCTTGAACTACCGGTTTATACTTTGCACCTCAGATAGTTACACTCGTGCCAAACGTGTCCTAATCAAACTGGAACTATCAGCGCACCTATTCTGCATTTAATAAACTAAAACAACTCAAACAGACAGAAAACGGGTCACCAGACGGGCTACTTCTCCCCACTGAAAAACAACAAACAAACAAACAAACAAACAAACAATCAAAAAAAGTCGCCATTTGTCGAGATTAGAATAAAAATAAAACTTACCACCAGATAGGATAACTTGCCATAACGTGCGTAAACCCACAGAGCAACAGGAAACATCCAAGGTATATCATCCTTAAAGTTTCGTAAAACATCTCCAGCAAAATGCCTACACGCACGCTCATACGCGCACTGAGATTTTAACCGAAGAGGGGAAAAAACAGAATCTGTGCTGATGGATTTTTATTTCTATCCTCCGGGAAAACTGAGGGAGAACCTCTCCTTCGCGACTACTCGTGGCACAACTCGGGAGCCAGATATTAAAGGTTAAAAGCCGCTTGCTTTTTGTGACCCAATCAGCAAGTATTGCCAAAGGGTGAATTCTGATTATATGTTCCTCTGTTGCCTAGTCAGGTGGTTTAAAGTCAGGCACCAGAAGAAGCTAATTTTAGGATGCGTTTTAGCGCTCATTGGGAATTGGTCGTATTAACATGCAGTGTGCGTGATATATAATGTTGTTTAAAGGAGAGAGGGAGGGTCTGGGGTGTTTTAAATAGACATCGGAACCCCTGTGGATTGGGTAGCTATAACAACCTGTCCGGATTTCACTCCCTGGCTTGAAGCTTCTAAAATGCAGAAATAAATATGTGTGAATTGCTTGAGACCATTATTAAGGTCTCCAGTCTTTTATTTGCGCCTGTTTGCCATGAATTTAAAATTAGAAGTTAGAAAATGAAAGGTTTCCCCCTACGGACTGATGAATTCACAGAGAATTTAATAAACTGAACTGGTTAAGACCCCCAATGATGAGGCCATCTATTGCATTTATGTGGTATTTATATGTAAAATAAAACCTTTTAAAACTTTCTGTCATTACAGTGCAGGTTCTTGTAATGTATGCTAGACTGTAATAAACTGATGTTAATGTTCTTGTCATAAAATAAAAGGCCATATTTTCAACACTAATTAAGAAGAAACATTTTTCCTCTAACGATAGTATCTGATTCACTGTTATTTTGCTGTCTTCACAGCTTCAAGACTTTAAATAATACACTATAGGCTGCGGATGCCAGACCCTTATTCCAAAAAAAAAATCTCCAACAAAACTGGCCGCACGACTGAGTTTAAATGACAGACTGGCTGTTTCCCTTTCTCAATGTCAAGTGGCTGTTGATAGCTGATCTAATATGGACCGGTCTTTCCATTTACAGGCACTGATGCTTATCTGGAGAATAAAAATAATCTGCAACTTATAATAATTGTGCAACTTTACTGATTAACAGGGTGGTAACAAATAAACAAATCCCAAATTTAACGCAAAAAAAATATTAAATCGATTGAACTGATCCGTTTTTCTTGGATGATTTTGTTTTTAAAGGCTACTGAATAACAGGAATAACGGTTACTTGATAGTAACAAATAGGCCTAGTTTTATTAGGACTTTATACTAATATTAGGGGAGAGAGCATTTATGACCAAAAATCAAGTGCACACACACACACACAGAGGAAATCTAATGTGTATATTAATGAAGATGATGATTTCATATTGAGGAAGAGGAAGCTGTTAGCTGATAATTTGAATTAATAACAGACAGTGCTGCATGAGCCCAAGGTGCCCGGAGTGTTTGGTGGCAGCTGTAACCTCCTGTAATAGTAGGCCACAGCAGAAACTATTTTTATTCCAGCTTTTTGTAAAATTATTTTTAATTCCCTGTTTCAACAAACCCTTGACTTTAAAATTTACTTTAATTGTCCGAAAGAATTTGGATATCTCCATCTGTTTCGGAGATATATGGATCCACAGCCTAACGGAAAACGAGGACTATTTCGCATTTGCCAGTTTTTGTGACTTTTAATGGCCTAACCCATCCTTCCAGTTTTCACTTGTTCATTTGTTCAGTAACTTGTCGGTCAGTCATGCAGTGTGTATTCAGTCAAGCCTGTCCCTGTCGTCTAATCTCCCTAAAGTGGTGATTTGCTCAACTTTAATGACTTTCTGTCGTGGAGAAGCCAAAACATGGTGCGAACATCCTAAAGCCTCCATAGCCAGCACGACAACAGGAAGTTGGCTCCATCTAGTGGAGATTATTCTACACTGCAAATCTGGCAACAATTTTTAAATCATAAACTCTCCTGTACTGCATTAATGTAAAAAAAACCCTCACCTGGTTCTGTTTATTTCATATTTAATGGTGGACTAACACATTTACACAAGTATTGTACAATTTTAAAAAGCAGCAGTATTACTAATTGCAATTGGTAATAAAGGAGTTCAATAGACCCAAAACGACTTCTGATACAACTACTAGGCCTATTACAAAAACAACTGAAACAACGAATGGATTGTGGAGCTCAAAGAAAACTATGCATTCATCATCCTGACTGCATTTGGTAAGAAAGACTTGGCTGCCTTTAATTTTATTAGCTGGGGGAAATCTAGAAGAAGGAAATCTAGGTATGAAGTGTGAAATTTTATGAAGTAGCTGTCAGCACTGGCACAGTAGTCGGCTAAGTAGTTAAATGCATGAGAAAAATGTCATGCTAGTTCAGTTTATAGCACCTGAATGTATAGTGTACTGTATATAGGACAGCTGTTAGTTAATGGCTATAAAAAGCAACTTCACAAGTGTTAAAATGTATGTGAAACAAATTTAGCTTCAAAATCGGTCAAATTATAATTTTACGTAAAGTGATTACAGTGAAGAAACGCTTCCACAGAGGTCTGTTCAGCTAACTGTAAATCGTTTCCTTTCACCTCCATCAACACATTCCTCATGCTCCAGCTCTGTGGTTTTCTCTCCGAAGGGCATCAGAGCACCTCTGTGTGCCCATGGTGACCTCACTGTGTTGATGATGTCATTCAGCAAAATGTCATTAGCATTGAATCATGTCCGACAAGTGAGTCTCGTCATTGCCCTGCATCACGGGGCTCAGTCAGACTCCCACTGTTTGACATAACAGCCACACTAACATCACATTTTACACACATACCGAATCTGTCACATTGCCATGACTTCAGTTTTCAATGAATATTTTCTCCATATGCCATAAGCTGATAATTTGTGCATTCAAGTGTCTCTGTGGGTTGCAACAACTAGACAAGGAAAATAAAAGCAGCTGCTAAATTGTTTTGTGCACAAATGTGACAGCACCACCAGATGTCAGCATTGTAATGAAATTATATCTACTTTAAACTTTAATAAAAATAAAATCTCACTTGGAAGCACATGTGGTCCACACATAGTATTTTTCAATCATTTTTTATGCTTTCAGGTAAAACAAGTCAAGCTTATTTATATAGGCCTAACAACTTTCAAACACATAGCAAAAAAAGCACATGGATGCATTTGAGCATTTAAAACCCCAGCAGAATATAAAGAACAAATACAAATCGAGTTAAATGAGAGAAATAAGATAAAGTAAAATATGTTAGTATGAGTATATTTTATAGATTCATACAGCACCTCGCATCAAGACAGGCCTGATCAGTGATAGATAATCCTGAAAGAGACAAAGGGACTTCAATTCTAGGAAGTACACAGTATTGTAAATGCTCTCTTTTGTAAATTAAACATAAACGGTGACTCTTCTATGTGTGTAACCAACTCTATATGAGCTATAATCTTTCCAAGATAAAGGGGAGTTCACACCTGGAAACAACTCATCAGTTTCCCCTTGTACTTCTCCGTTGGTCTCCCGACATGGGAAGCGGAGCAAAGGGTCTGCCTCTGTTTTGACTTTATCTTCAGGATGGGCATTACCGCAGGCGTTGAAGTCCCTATCTCGCCTGCTTGCCTCTTGGCAATACAGGGTGTAAAAAGGCTTCTGATAAGAGAAATCAAGGGAGACAACTTCCAACTCTTAACATAAACTGTTTTGAAAGGTCAAATTTGCTTTGATAATAACTTCTGAGTTTAACTGGAAGAAGTCGTGAGATAATTTGAATCAAAGAAGAAGTAGATATGAGAATTATCTGAATAAAAACAGCTGTGCAATTCAAATATTTGACCTAAAGTTAACATAAAAATAGACAAGAGTAAAGGACAGATCCCCGCTGCTTTCTATGAATAAAATGGGTATTAAAGGGTTTACAGGTCTCTTAAATAACAGAAATGTGGATTAAAATAAAACCCAATGCTTAAGAAGGTCAGAGTGGTCGTATGCCACGCTGATATCTCACGGCAGTAAAGTAGTGTAGGTGGCTGGCTTGGTTTTAATCCTGTAATTTAAAAGAATTGCATGTCTGAGGCCATGAGAGACAAATAGATCCACCTGAAGGCTTAAAATCGTTCTGCCTGTCTGCATATGCAACCTGTGAAGTTGCTTTCTGTCTACAACTAAAGTCTTAACAGTCTGTGGTGGGAGTTTTGCTCACAGGAGTTTTCCTCAGAGGGCCTCAGATAGTTGTGATAACGCTGAGGTCACACATCAAGCAGGCAGGATGAAACCCTGAAGGCCAGAAAACAAGAAGAGACAAAACAGCTTTAATTATACGTAGGAATATCCGTGCATGTCACATCAGGGTGAAATGTATTTTTTTTAATTTTCTTTTTCTCTGGTCTTTTCTACACAATGTCACTTTCCTCCGGGTCATCCCAGGTCGCAGTCAGCGTAGAGGCAGCTGCTCAGCTGGACATTGTCTTGTTTCTTTAACGCTAAGCAAAGCAAAGCATACTATTCCATTAACACCACCTGTTGGTCAAGAGCATGTACTATTCGCTATACACCTACCATATCATCTGCTTACATAAAGCAACTTACTTTCCTGGCATGGACACTCACATGTCAGTACTTTTACTGTTGAGACATGTGCTGTGTCACTGTAGATGCTCTCTCCAGTGGAGTGAGGTCAACCTGGATGAATAGCCGTGCTTGTTCAAGGGAAAACAGAAAATTGCGATTCTGTAAACGCCATTCAAGCAGAGTGTTTTACAGGTTGCTGGGAAACCAAAGAGTGGATTATATCATGCGACTTTGGCAATAAAAGACCTAGTAGACTGGTTTGATATTAATGTCAGATAATAAAGTCATTGTTTGTAACACATGTAATGTAATTACACTTGAATGAGCAAATGTTTATGATAAAAATGTTCAAATAAGTTAAAAGATACCAATTTATTTAATATTCAAAAGTTCAAAGTCCACTTTTTCAACACTGAGTTTTACTCCACCAAGCATTTGACTTTGCATTAAAGGAATTTCATGTTTCCTCCCACAGTTACACAGCAGGAGCAGCTTAGATGTGTCTACTTAAACACTTTCAAGAACGGACAAGCCACCACATGCTCAAATACAATTTGGATCATGCGTGTGTCATAACATTTCACTAGAAAATGTGCACGGACCATAGGTTACATGCCACCAATGAAGCAGTGGGATTAAGTCCCACTGCAGCTACTGTTTTGGTTTCTCCATACAAG